TGCAAAAATGCATGAAAGATGACTGTGCAAAAAAACCTGCTCTGCTGGGGAGACATTAGTGGAAGAAATTCCTGCTTTGCACAAATTTTTATATTAACAACCTCAATTTAAATTCCTTTGGTGACAGAAGGTGGCACATTGGAAAATAATATGATATTAAAATCACAGTGGCCAGATACTGAGTTGCTGAGCAACCAGACGTAGCTTCTGACATCTTAAAAGTTCAGAAAACATCAAGCTCCAAATCAGCTTCCTAATTATGGACAGCTGAACTAACCATTTCTAAAAATCTTGGCAACCATTTTAAAATATATCCTAATTCTAAGGAAGATCATGAGTCACAGTACCAAGCAGGTTCCAAGTCCATACCTGTAGCATACACACATACAAAAGGGGAATTTAAGAACTGAAAATTCAGGGACTAAATTTGGGAAGCGGAGGAGAGGACACTACATGGTAGTCAGTATAAGAGATCATCAGTGAAGATGGCAAAAACATAGCAATTACTGAAAATATCTTCTACATAAGCAAGACATTTGGCAATTTTTTTATTGTATCTTATTTTCTCCAGGAAAGATATGAAAATCTCATTTATATTTTTTCACATTCTAATAATTCTCTTAAAGCCAAACTTCTCATTTAGGCATAGAATTGGTTTATTTTAACTATGGGCAATGGGAAGAAAAGCTGCCAGAAATTATTAGAGTAAGCATCTTTTGGCTCTCTTGCCATTTTGCTCAGGTAAGACTCTTCAATGAGTAACTTATAATTGGTGAGAAAATATCAGCCTTGATCAAACACTGGGTGTAAGCATTCTGTTCTAAAATATGGTCGTGACCAATAATTCAGAGTCCACAACCATCCTCAGCAACTCAACTTTAAGATCTAAATGGAGAAGAGAGGAATGTAAAAAGTAGGGCAAAACCCCACAGTATGCTATACACATTAGTTTGTCTATAACAACATACAGGAGAGGACACAAACACATAAATAAATCTGAAGGTTTTGTTGGTTTATAATACAACCTTCTAAAATTGTGAGCACAGTTCTTCACCTGCACTAAAAACATCAATACATTTTTTTATTTAAACTCACTGCCTTGCCATATAACAACTAAAATTAAAGTCTGTGACACAAATGCTAGAATACTGTATCTGGTATATTGTTCTATTAGTACAGGACTTTGACAGGCTAGTAAAAAAAAAATCCCTGATGCCTCCTGTTACATTTACAGTTCTTCTGTTCTGAAAATGGTATCACCTGAAATAACACACACGTCACAGTCTACAAGTTGGATTTCTGACATTTGAAGTTGATACAAGAGCTTTTATACTCATGAAGGCACTGAAGAGTCCTCATCTAACTCTATGCTGTTTCCAAAAAACCCTATGAACTTCTTCTGAATAAACCATTGCATTTTATAGAGCAAGCTCTTGAAGAAAAGCCCAAGGCCAACTTTATCACATCCCTCACTCCAGTCTCTGTATTTTCCCATTCATGTTAAAAACCAAAAAATGTAATTCTTCCTATAAACTAATTTGCCAGTGCACAATACTCTTGACTTCCTAGAGACTCAAATAACTCAATTTCACAGTTCTCTCAGGTTCTTCCGAAAGGGTATTTTTTTCCAAAAAAAACCACACTTCTTTTATGCATTTCTTTTAGGGAGAGATCACTGAAAAAGCCTCTAAGGAGATGCCTGTAATTCTGCCAGATTTCATGTGTGGTTTTTCTCTGTGTACTCTGTTTACAATGTCATACTCATATAAGGTTTTCTCTTATATTTTCTCAATACGGTGCATGCTTTTTTTTTTGGGGGGGGGGGGGGGGGGGGAGAAATTCTGCTAGCACATCTTCTGGAGTGCTATGACAGACAACAGAGACTTCACAGAATGTTCACTTTTAACTCACCCCTAAATTGTTCTGCTCTACTCTTCAGATTGTGTGGGCCCTGTGTTGCAACTTAACAAAAAGTATGACCTCCTTGCTTCATAAGCATCAAGCCTCCTGATTTTGTCCTGGAATTGTTATGTATCCTAGCCTTTTGAAGATTATTTTTTCATGTGACTTCTGATTATTCTAAATAGAATCATTTGGAAGATGTTAAAGAAAAACGGGGGTGAACTCTCCTGGGAAGAAATCTGTAGACTCCTTTCTTTGACTCTGCATTCCTTTGCAAACTATTTACTGCATGTTCAGCACAATCTGAATAGACATGAATATTTTCTAGGGTAGATTTAAAACAGTTACACTAACTGTAGTGTTAGGGAATACTAACTTTAAATAGCTATGGCAAACTAATGTTGTTGCACTAAAAAGTAAATAAAGTTACTGCAGGGGCCTTATACACAAGGAGATAAATTATCCGAAGCCCTACAGGAACAAAAGCTGTATGACAGTAAAATTATGTTGCAGTAAGTCACCTATGCAGAAAAATGAGTAGAGAAAATCTAAATGTACATCGTAAACTAAAACACCCCAGTCTTCACACACATGGAAATTTCTGTTTGGGACCACCAGGCAGGGAGATGATACATATATATATATAACCCTAAAGAATCATTTATACCTGGAACATAACAATGGGTTAAAAATAACAGGCTTTTTGAGTTGGAAAGTTACAGGTGTTCATAACATCTACAGTGCTTTATTTCCTACACAATTTTATGGAACCAGACAGATAAAGAAAAAACCTTCTCAAAATTCAGAATACCACCTTTTCATTTTTTATTAGTGTGCTAGCTTCACTGGAAATAAACATGTTCCCCTTTTGCAGGATCTTCCTGTTAGTAACAGTTGCACATAAATAAAGTTTTCTAAACAAACATCTTATCTTTTTATGGAAGGAAGTCCATTAATAAGGAATTGACGTCCTTCCTTGAAAAAAAAGATCAGTGCTAATTCTTTCCCATAAACTAAAGAAATAAACTTACACCCTGAGATTTTTTACTCTATTTTCACAGTAAACTGGCTTGTCTGCACGTAGATAAGATGGAAATATTTGGGTTTTCTTATAAACAATACCTCCGTTGCTACTTTGCCCCATAATACTGAATAATTAATTTCTTCCCTCAGTTTTTGATAGCTTCATGGCACTTGGGCTTTATTTCAATTCTATTCCATTCCTGTTAAAATTACATGGCAGCCTTTGAGCAACTTTCAGCCTGGGAGCTTTCAAAACTCAACATAACTTTCTAACTTTTTGACCTATGCCATTGTTTCCAGAAAAATGTCCTTTACTTAACAAATGCAGCCAAATATATTCTAGCACCCTAATGCGGTCTCCACTGACTTTTTCAGCTACAAAGGACATTTCTATTGCCCAATATGAACTTTGTTATGGAAAATCCTCTGACACAACCTTCATCTGCTTCCCTTCTTCACCATAATTTTCTTTCAGACTAAGAGAATCCAAAGTTGATACTGTATTGTATGCTACTTGCAAAAAATAAAATACAGACTTTTCTACCAATGGCTTCAGAAAACCAGCATTTTAACCTATTTGCAACAATGCTGAAAATAGAAATGTTAGTATGTTTAAGGATAGTTTAGATTTGCAATGTTATTGTACATCACAATTTAGAATCTCAATGCCATACTGCAGGGAGATGAGCCAGAGAGAATGGCAGAATAATGTACTCTGGGATTACCATACTTGTATAAATTTAGGAGTCAAAATGCCATAGTATTTTTGTATGAGAAGAGCTATTTACCCTAAACTCAGAACTCTGTGGGATGCAAGAAACCTCATAAATATATTCACATAGCAATTTCAAAAGGAAATTTCAAGGAAAAAATGCACAAGTGTTGCTAGGAAAATTCTATTATTTCTCCTCAACTGTGTCAACAAATGAGTGCTATTTCAAAGGCATCTATTCCAATTGTGAAAGATGAAACACTGCTGCATTCCAGCAATCACATAGATAACCTAAGAATGGGAATATAAAATCCTTTACCAAGAGTGTGCATCAATTTTTCTTACCGAATGCTTCACTTGATAAGGTATTTAACATATGTTTTAATGCAGATAAATAAGAGAGTGACAGGGAATGAGAGTGAGCATCAGGCTCCTCTCCTCTTCCTCTGAACTCAAAGATTCCTTTCTGACTCCATTTTGCACTAGGACAGTTTGCTTTCCAAAGATCAGTTTGCTGTAGAGGTGACAAGCCCTAAGCAGGTAAGAGTCAGTCCATTTTACATAGCTTTGGTGACATTGGTTCCTTGCACTGTTCTTTGGCATCCATATATAACTTTACATACTGATTTCTACAGTTTACATTTAGACTACAATACTATTAGTTGCTGGTGGAACCAGAAGACTTCATATGCTTGTGCAGGTTTAGTAACACACGCCTGAGTGCCACTATAAAAGCAAGAGCAATTTTTGCTTCCCTTAACTCTATCCTTTTCAAAGACTTAGGCCCTCAGAAATGTTTTCCCCCATTTCTGTTTAATTCTCAATAATGTACTGCGGAACAGTGACCTTTTACAAAAACAAAACCAGAGCACTGCTTTAAAAGGTCACCTAGTCACTCAGAAAACAGAGTAGATATTCTGGTATCCCATGGCAGCACTAGAAACAGGGATACAGGTGATAGCTTGACAAGTATCTGGACAAAACAGTATGCTGAAGGTTTTTGTCTTTCATTAGAAATTTCACCCGTTCTCCAGGACTGCCCTGGTCAGTAAGAATGCCTTATACCATTTCCAGCTTTTCTGCATTACCTTTTCTTTACTCTCATTTACTTAGCATTGCTTCACAAAACTTTTCTGATTTAGGATGATTCTTGAAAGGGCAGAAGGCTCATGGCAGTCCCAAGAGAGCTCAGTAAATGTGTACAAAACACTAAGATTTTTGATAATTTTATCTTGTAAGGATTTTTGGTCAGCTGTAGCTAACGGCTAACCAAAATACCTGTGAACGGCTTTAGGACTGCTGAATGAATGGATGGTACCCAGCACAGCAAACAAAGGGGCCCATTCAGCAGTGTCACTGTTACCTGTGCTGCTGTCCTCTCTTGTCCCCTCAACTCCGCATTCGCATTCGGCAATACTGGTGTTGCAACTGGTGGAGGAGGTGCTCTGCGCTTTTTCACTTCTGGGTTTGCTGTCATTCCAGAGATGTTACCAAGGGACTGTGATGAACCCAGGCTACTGGAACGAGAATTCACCGAAGGGGAATTTGGTGCTGTGGAAAAACCCTGTAAATGGATTAACATCTTGGATTAACATCACTCTTTGAAAACAATGGGAAAGAAAGAAGAAAAACAAGACACATCTGGTTACCGTTTAAACAATGATATGAATAATCATGTATGTTCCTCTGCCAAACCTGCTGAATTGCAAACTCTAACTTTTGGAAACTTCCAAAGGTCAACTGGAACAAAGCTTACAGGCAGTATTAATAAGACAGGAGGCACGATAAGCACCTACTGCGGTTTAACAGTAGTATTGATGGGAACACTGCTGCTGCTTGCTATTTAAAATATGAAGTTCACATCAAGACTCATAATTACAGTTATCCAAATGCATTTGCAGTTGCATTTAAATTACAAGTGTTACACGTTTCTGGAAGAAAGATTTACTCTTAAATGAGAACACTGTATTAATAAAAGGCTGTCAGTGTCTCAGGCTGGTCTATTTTGTTATCAATCTGCCTGATTCACCTGAGCCTTCTCTGCAAATTTACATGAGAGAAATTCTGCTACCATTAAATGATTTCCAATTTACATGCACAATCACGCATAATCACTTACAGCTTACTGAAAACAATCATTTAACTTGGTAAAAAGAAGTCCTACTGACAGGCACCACTCTGGATTCTAACAGGCCCAGATAAAAGGAGAAACACAAAATTACTTCAGTAATTCCTTACTGCTAAAAATTACTTTAGTTCTCATTGAAAACTCAATAAAATCACTGGGAAAATTTTAATGGACTTCAGAAACTTAATACATTTTTATATTAACATACAAACAGAAACATATCCACTCACATAATAGCAAATCTACAAATACAAAAGATTATAACTAGGATTCCTTGAAAATGAGCATTTTAACTTTAGTTTTTACTCGTAAATTCAATACCTTTTTTTTTACTCTGCTAACAAAAAATCTTGCAAAAACTTTTCCCTCAAAATCTGAGTCACCTTCTCCTTTTTTTAATTAACAGAACCTTCCATATTAAACTGAAGATTTTACTTTTTAATTAAGTTATTTGACTGTAACTACTTCCCAGAAATATCTTCTGTGGAATCACCACGGATACCACTACACCATGACCTGGAGCTGAATAGCTCTTCTGGAAACACAGGCTGATGAGCATGGTTGATAACACTGTTCTTATCACAACAGAATATGCTACCACAATTGCAAAACTCTCCCGTCGCAGCTCTCTGGTGGAATTTAGTCCAAAACCACAGAATACATACTGGCAGAAAACTTAAAGGCCACCTCAAATGCCATTACTTTCAAAAAAAGAAAGATAATTTCTTTCCACGAGTGCCAACTGCAAGCTTAGGTAAAAATTAAAAACACAGGGCAGTAAGATTACTCAATTCACTTAGTTTTAGGACGACTGAGGAAGCACTGATAAAGCATAAAGAGCTAAAAAAAAAAAAAAAAAGCAATGTAAAAATATGTATAATACAGGCTCCTTTACTGCCTGGGAAATTTCCATGTTCTGTAGATTCCTGAGAAAGCAACTGAGATGCAAACAGATTTGTGCCTTGTCCTGCATTTACTGTGTGTGTGGTGGCAATTGCTGACCTAGATGCCTGTGTTAACTTTTATGCTGCACACTGCACAGCACACTTCATCTTGGAATAACGTATTTGGCACAAGGGGAGTATGATACCAATCTTCTCTGACTGAAAGCAGTGTTGGCCGCATCTTTTTCATCACCAATTTCTCTGAATTGAATTGCATCAATAGTATCTTTACCCTTCTAGGAAGTTAAGAAAAAAAGTTGAAGTAGAAGATATTGTTTAAAAGATTAGGTATAATATTATAGAAAAGTGGTCTTGTCTTGGCACTGTATATTGGACAGTGGATAAAATAATGGTCTCAGCTGTAAGCTAAAAGCTTTAAGTCATTATCACTGCATACTGTACAAGGCCCTATCAAATAAAGTTTCTTTTTTCTTAGAGAAATGATGGGTTCATGGAGTGAAATGTAGATTCCTCTTTTCACATTTATCCAACAACTGAACAAAACAACTTCAAAGTGGCTTCTGCAGGTATACCTTGATTCTATTAATTCTTTAGCCTTCTAGATAAAAGGGTGGAGAAATTTTAGACAAAGCTGTATGAAAATAAGAAAAAAACCCCTAAGACTCCCCTCCTTGCACTACAAATGCAGAGTACTAGTAAGACGATAGGCCATAACCAGTTTAAAATGAATGTTTAATTTTATCTCAAGATCTTGTGGCTGAAGAGCAACCAGAATCCTTTTCCAAACTACAGGTCATTGGGAAGGGATACGGCGACGAACAACTAAACAATTTAAAGCTGTTTTATCCTATTTTTAAGCTTGGATTTCCTAACAGAAGATACATGGGGAAAAAAAAAAAAAATTTCCATGACACTGTAAGAAGTTTTTAATAAAAAGACTTGAATGATAGAAAAAAACATGAACCTTGCAAATTCATCTGTGTTTTTTTTCCAAGTCCAATTTTTATATCCAGCCCGTTATTCCATTACTGAGCATTTCAAGAATGCTCATGTAAATACACTTGCCCTAAAACAAAAACTTGTCAGAGCTTCGAGGGGAATGGAGTGAGGACAGTTTTGAAAGCCCTCTCATGCAGCAAAACGAGCTTTGCCTAACTGGAGTCAGAACTTCAAATTCTCCCGTATGTGTAGTCACTGTCATTAGCTTTAGGAGAAAAAAAACAACACTGGACACAAAACACTGACACAAATTATTATGTCATGACTTGTCTTTTTCTTTAAAACTAATGCCGAGAGAGAACACATAACTCAGATTTTATATTCTATGTTGGGTTAGATGCAATACAGTTTCTTTCCAAATCATGGGATTTTGGAGGTTTGTTTTTCAGGCAGTTTAGCAAGGCAACTATTAAGAGCATACAACATGAATCAGGAAAAATTGCAGGGACATGATATCTACATGCCAAATACTCTAACCATCTCTCATTTCTTGTTTTTCTAATTTGTTGTCAAAGAACCGATTGAATTACTCAAATTACAGCAGTCTAAGTGAGGAAAGCCAAGCTCAGGAATCAAAGCCAATGTTACTGACTAAAAAAAGTCAGCTCTTATCCTCTGTTTCATTTGACAAACAGGTTAGCATGAATACTCTGATTAGTTTCCAAATCAGTTCACAGAATCCATGTGCTTCATAAGAAAAAAAAAAAAGAAAAAAAGAATCAATTAATAAAAGAAAAGTCATGGAAACTAATTATATAAAGAGCTTTCAAAAATGTCTCTCAACTTGCAAAATCACAGTCTTTGTTAAGCCACTAGTGTTGGAGTACTTTGCTATCAGTTCAAACAGCAATTAATTAATGTGAACTAGAAAGAAAAAGAAAGAGTTTGGTTTGGGGTTGATTTTTCCCCCAAATTAAAGCAAATCCAATACAAAACCAGATAGACCAGCATAGGTCTGCAGTCAGGTTAGACTGGATTAGGGGTGGATTAGAGTCCATTTCAGTGCCATGAAGCAGATATCAGAACGAGGCAAGAAACAACTGCCGTACCAACCTACGGCGCCATCATATGTCATCACCATTTCGTGTTAAACTTGCCAGATAGTTTTTTTCCCCCTCTCATTAAACTTCTGAAACCCAAGGAACTTCCTGTTTTTTTCCTAATGTATAAGGTGGTTCTTTTGGAGTTCAGCAATTTAATTTTAAATTTTTTTTTTCTGACTAGTTCTTCTAATTGAAATTTAGCTATCAAAGACATTTTTGCAGGGCAATAAGGACTGCTAAAAACACAGAAGTAGGAAGGCTAAGAGTAACCTGGTGAAGTATGCATACCACTCTCATTTTCAGAAGACACCAAGCAGTCAGCTTTCTACAGGACTTCTAAAGTCCCATACCTGCTGAACTCACAAGATAGACTAAGAGCCTTAAGCTGAGGCCAGTCTCTGTTCCTAGGTCATCAACCTAGAATGAAATGGTAAACTATCTTTTTCAAACTACCTCCTTTTCAAGATAAAAAGAAGTTCTGGTATCTTACTGATAATTGGAAAATTTTAAAGTCATATATAAATAAAGGTAAGAGTAATCTATTAAAAATCTAACTGTACTGCTGTGAGAATTGCTTTACAAAACCAGATGTGTATAAAAATGGAAATCAGCTTATGATTGTTTTTTAAAATATGTCCCTTATATATAAAACTTTCTTTCCCAAAGCCCTATTATAAGCATTTCCTTGACTTTCTGATGACACTAAGTGGCATTTAAAGGTCAGCAAGGAAGAGGCTGCAGATTGCCTGTGAGAGTGATTTGACTTCCTCTTCCCTGTTCACACTGGTCAATAAAAATTTTTCAAAATGTCAAGCTCTTTTCTTGCAAGGTTGTTACAGACAAGCCTTTCTTCCGCAGCTCTTTGCCAAAACTCACATATTTGAGCTCCCAGTCTTGTTATGCAACTTCCTTCTCAGAAGTTTTTAAATCAGAAGTAATCAATGGAACTGTTTTAATGCACTCAAAGTAGCAGATGTATTAGCAAAAAGGGGTTTATTTTTTCCAAAATAGAGACAAAAAATAAAATTATCATAAAGGATATAGTTTGGTTTTTGTTTTTTGTTTTGCAAATATATTATGGGTAAATATGAAAGGTAAGATTTACAGCAGGCAAACAAATCCATCTATTCAGTGACAGCAAGAATATTTATGCCTGTTAGACATTTAAACTCTATTAATGCAAACTTTTATTCGTTAGCTGAATGATACCACAACAGATTACAATTGGCCATATAAAATGCCAGACAGACCTACTGCACAAAGTGAACTTAGAAGCTGCTTTCCCTGACATGACAGTGATATTACACTAAATTTTCACCAAAATTAACAACACAGAAGCTGAATTAATCCAAGATCCTGCTTCAAAACTAAAGCATAATACTGCAGTCATGACATTGCTGGGAGACACAGTTTAAAAAACCAAACCAAACAAAAAAATTACAATTACTCAGATTTTCCTTTTTAACCAGCCACACTGAATACAGTTTTT